ATAGAAAAATAGTACACGTAGTAAACAAACAGTTCATACATATTCACATATTCGCCCAACATTGTTTTTGCCACTGTACCTCGCTGCAAAAGCTAGCAAATCTGCCGAAATCATGTATAGTGCACAAAAATTTTGATTTGCCTGTTTACTATCCGTGTTCTGTTTACGGGCCCATATAGAGGAGAAATAATCAATATAGCTGTAATCATTAACTGACGATCTGTACACAATTTTGTTGCGTCATCGTGAGGAGGCTTGAAACAATAGCCATCATATTCAATTTCACCACCTGAACTATGACTTTCTATCCTATACTGTATATGAACAATACCGAAGACAGCCAAATGTTTCATAAAGTTTTGTAGTGCGAAGAAAAACTTCATCTACTACCGTTCAGACTACTTTTCATTCCTCAATAAAGTAATTCGCAACCTTAAGGTACTTGAAACGAACACTGAGTCATCCATCTATGATAGAATTCTAACCGAGATTCAAGACTCGATTAATGTAAGTCAACTTAATCTGCTACGTTATTAAGGTTAAGAAATAAAAATTTATCATGTAATAGTCAAAAACGACCGATTTCAGTATATATAATGAAAGGCATTTTATATTCAATTTCCTGCCTTTTAATATCTGAAAAGCCCAATGTTTGTTTGAGATTATACTACGCTCTCACAAGAGAAAATTGAAAATTTGTTTTCGTATACAAAACCTACTTTTTTCTCCTTTTATCATAGAAATGTTTTTATTGTTCGCATTTCTGTGGCTAACTAGCACAGTATTGTGCTTGATTGATAATAAATCCTACAGACCATCAGCGGCCGAATTAAGTAATCCATCAATTTATCCAAAACGTTCATTTTATGGCATTAAATCAGTCCAACCCGATAATTGGAAAATCGATGATTTAACTGGTAATGGTGTTGGTGGAGTAGCGCTGAATTTTCCATGGTCTGATTTTCAGCCCACTGGAAAACGTAAACCATGTTCAAGTGATGAAATTGAATATGATGAATATTGTTTCAAGCCTGCTCACGAAGCCTTAACAAAATTGTATACAGATCGTCAGCTAATGATTACAGCTGTGCTGATTATTCCTCCTCTATGGGCTCGTAAACAGAACACTGATTGTAAACAGGCAAATCAAAATTTTTGTGCACCAGACAACGCGGATGATTTCGGCAGATTTGCTGGCTTTCTAGCATCGAGATACAATGGGAAAAACAATGTTGGGCGAATATGTGAATTTGTAATAATGAATGAAGTTAATGCAGCCGAATGGTACAATACTGGATGTGGTAATGGTAAAGCCTGCAACATTGACAATTGGGTTAAAAATTATGGAAACGTTTATATAGCTGCTTATGATCAAATTAAAAAACATCAGCCACAAGCACCAGTACTCATTTCGCTTGAGCATCATTTTGACAGTGTTTTCGATCAACATATAAATGCACGAAGTCCCGTAAGTTTACAATTTAGTCCCTTACTAATTAAAGATTCAACTTCGGTTTGTTGCATAGATTATGTCCGGACGTACTTTCTTAACAAAATTAGCTCCACAACTTGGTGCAAGAAACTGGTCGGTAGCTTTTCATTCTTATCCACCAAGTTTACTAC